GTTGGGTGATGATCCAGTGCCATTCATCCTATAGGCCCTGCCACATGGCATCTGAACAGGTGACTGGAGTGGCAAATCTGGGCATCGTTCATGTTGCTGTGGTCCACAAGGGCCCTCTTCTGCATATCCTAATCAGGCTTGCATACTGTCCCAACAGGGACCAGGGAGGTAACATGAGGGAGGGACATGAGCCTGGTGTAAGCAAGGCAGACATCAGCGACCAGTGAACTGGGGAGGACAGGTTGGGATGAGGGGGATTGCTGTGAGAGTCTATAGGAATACAGCCCCCTGTAGCCCAATCATCTGATTTTTGCCCCAAATCCATAAAGCTGGATTGTATGCGATATTTGCAGGTTTGAGGGGCCCTGTGTGGCCAGGCAAATAGCCACTTAGGCAGAACTGACTTGTAGGCTCTATTTGGGACCCTAGCCTCAAATTTTTTAGGTCTGCAGAAATGGTCCCTTGATTTCAAAGAAATCCTCTGTCTCCTCAGAAACAAGCTAGGCCTTTTTCAGTAAGTGGAAACCTAGGTGCTCCAAATGATTATCTTTATCAATTCGTTAATTTTTTAAAAAGCCACTCAGACGGCGCTGAGGTTCAACGGCTCCCTGTCTTTTCATGTTCACCAGGCTTTGAGCAGACAACCAGTGAGCTGTATTCCGGCACTCTAACGTGTCAGAGCTCAGGCCACGAGTTCCCTCCGATGGGAGAGTTCTGCCTCTCTGAAGAGAAGCAGACACGCTCAGAGCCTGACCCTGGACTGTCCATCCTAAACGACAAGACAGGGAGGAACAGCTGGGGCTTCTACAAACCTCAGTGGGACAGGAACACAAAGGGCTTCAGAAGCCAGAGTGAGTTTAACACTTCCTCTCTAATAACCAGCATTGACTAGAACTTACCGTGTGCTAGGCATTGTGTTTCTGTGCACAGTTTAACAGTAAGTCCGTGATAACTGCTTTTGGGTGGGTGGAGGGATAAATGAATGAATCAGGTATTGCTTTTATTTCACACTCCTGAACTCAGGCCTCAGCATCGTTAGAGCATTTGGATTTGCAGAATCTCTTCTTTCACGTCAACTATTTCTGAGTGCCAGATCTGTGTAAAGTCAGCATGTCAGGGATCCCCCCCCAAAAAGGAAAAAAAACAACAGACCGAGAACCTACCCTCACGCTGTGTCCTGGCAAGGACAGGTGAGCCATATGTAGTGATGACTCCAGGTCAAGAAGGCAGTGGGTGAAGACAGTTCCTCACTCCCAGGAGCTGCTGGCCACACCCAGGAAGATTCTCTGAGGATTCTTAAAATGCCTCCCTAAAGCCCACATAAGAATCTTCCAGGGTATGGCAAATGTCCCCCATAGACAGCTTTGCTCTCAAGGGGGAGATCAGCAGAGGCTGCCCCGAAAAGGAGGGATCTCAGAGAGACGCGCTGGAAGAGATGGAGGAACCCACAAAAGGCAGAGAAGGAAACGCCAAGGTGCTGGTGTCACACCTGGGCAGAGTGGTTTTAGCGTTGCCAGGGGACACATGGAAATTTCAGTCTCTGTAGGGAGGAGCCCTTCCCTGGGGGCTCACCCTGCAGCAAGTCTTAGGGTGTTTTCCCCCATGTGGTTGCTCAGAAGACCCTTGCTGTGGCAGCCTCTATGGACAGAGTCCCAGCTAGTAAGCAAGATGGTGCCAGCTCCCTGGGGACACTCTCCCTTACCCCCCACAATGCCACCAACCTAGACACATACCTGAAAAAAACACCTGGTCATCCTTTAGTTCTCAGCTTCAACCTCGCGTCCAAAGAGAAGCCCTCGCTGCCAGCCCCAAAGGGAGCCTTCTTCCCTGCAGCTCTCATGGCTCTCCTACCCTTTGAAGTGCCTCTCACCTTTACTCCTGCAGTGATTTGCTGAAGTCTCCTGGTCTCTGGCCTGTGGGCTCCTGGAGGGTGTGGACAGGGCGTGTCTGTCCTGTACACATGTGCATTCCCAGACACCTGGGGCAGACTAGATTCGCCTTCCAACAGGGAGGGCTTCCCGGCAAGTCAGGGAGCTGCCGTGGTGAGAAGGAGACTTTCCTCAGGTTCCTGGGAGGACGCTACAGGGCAAGGCAAAACTGAAAGGCTGCCAGGAGCGCTTCCCCACCACCCACTTCCGGGATGGCAGCTCCAAACCGAACTTTCCCTCCTCTGCTGAAGATCTCGAATGAGAGGCTTCCCTAAAAGCAAGTAAGGCCCCAAACCAGAGATGCTACCCTTATAAAACGACACAGCCTGACCCTGGGAAAGAGCTGTGGATAGTCAAAACCAAATCAAGACAAAAAGCAAAACCAAAACACCACTGCCCCCGTTCTTGGCTCTAGCAGTCCCAGATCTTTAAGAACCCCTTTCCCTCAAATTCAAGGTTTTTTTCTTTAACAAATCATATTTAAAATATGTTTCCCTTTCTCATTTTGAGGAGAATGCTAAGAAACCATTATTTCATGTTCAATAAAAATCCAAAAGCTTCTCTGTTCCCAAATCACCTGGTACACTTAATATCCCAAAGATCAAAATTGGCATTCACAGGTAATTTTCTCAAAGATAAAACATAACAATCATAGTTACAATCTGTCCTAAAACTAAGTGAAGACAGCAAGAATCATGCATCAATGTTCTGGTACCACACAAATGATTTCACACTCAGCATCTCACATCTCCAGCCATGTGTAGTCAGTTCCCAGTGTGTGGCTGAGCACTGTGCCTGCTGGGCCAACACTCAGAGAGTGAGATCCATCAAACACATGACACTAAGATTAAACTAAACTATGCTTAATATTTCCTTAATGATGTGGCAGGTCCTTTCAGATTCTGCTATGATACAAGATGAGTCCACCTATATTGACTATCACATTAACATATTATCACATTAATCAATATAAATATCATTATATTACTATATTAACCAAAGGGGACATTGGCTTAGAAATATTGCACTGTATGAAAACATACTTCAGCGACCAAGCCTATTATTTAACCTTTGCAATGCTCTCTCTTCCTTCCTCCTCCTCTACATTCCTGCTGAGACCACACTCAGTGGGGAGGTTTGGGGATCAGAAAGAAGGTGAGTGGTGTGGCAGAGCACTGGGGGAGGGAGAGGGCAGCAGCAGATGAGGCTGGGCAGGTGGGCAGGGGAGGGAGCATGCCAGGCTTTGCAGGCCTTAGCCAAGCTTTTATATTTATTCCAAGAACAAAGGGAACTGCCTGAAGGGACTGAGGAAGTGAGTGTATGATGTAATTTACATTTTATACAGATCATTCTGCCTACCTGTCTGGTGAATTTATGCCTGGTGCCCATGATTGGATCGCAGGCTTGTGGATGGTAGGGCTGTAGGTACAGGTCTATCAATGCCCTTACCTCATGCACGCACAGAAGTGTTAAACGAAGATTTCTCAAACTTTTGTGTACAGCAGAATCCCCAGGAAGCTCATTCAAACCCAGCTTGCTGGACCCCACCTGCAGAGGGTCCGATTCAGTAGGTCTAGGTGGTGCCTGAGAATCTGCATTTCTAACAAGGTTCCAGGTGATTTTGCGAAATACGTTGCTGTCTAGACAGGGCTCTTAGAGAGTCAGCATTTAAATCTGTTTGCTGCATAAATCAGTCAATAAAGGGACATGAGAATGTATTTTCAAACAAAAACAATAGAAGCAATCAGTGGTTCGAGTTTGACCTAAAATAGCAATCATCTCTTTTAATTTTCCTATTCTTAAATTATTCCCTTCACCATATTATGCGACAATAACAAGAGGACTAACCCCTGCGTGCAGAAATGCTCTGAAAGGAAATACATTGTGATTAGACAAGATGGGACACTTCAGAGCCTGCATCGCCAAGTTTAATTATAAATCAAATGTCATTCAAAGATTTTGTGTGTGTGTGCAAAAGTATGCGATTTATTTGTGTAGGCAGTAATTACCTGCCTCAATCCAGAAAGGATATGAGGTAGTGAGGCAGCTGTTGGTGCTAATCCAAAACTGAAAATTAAACTAAACTTTCCTTGGAATTCAGGAATAAAGCTCACACCGGCCCATCCCTGTCTGGTTCAAAGCACATGGCGTTGGTGAACACACCTTCTATGAGAGGAGGTTGTTCAAACTCTCTTTCTTGAATGAACCCCCAAAGATTCCAATTTAGGTGTTTACTATGCCAAAGCAGAACTGCAAGTGAAGAATGCAAAGTTAATAGAAACTCAAAACCAACAAGGGAGAACATGCTTCAGACCTAGGAGAGGTGGCAAGACCCCTACACAGGAAGCAACTGGGGTCTCTGAGGGTTCACCTTGCTCTGCCACATATGAGGCTGCGGTTTTCATGTGCAAACGTCCATCCACCCAGAAATTGTCATCACTTGCAACCAACAATAGGCAGTCCAAACTTAGAGATGGCTGAGAGCTTGGGGGTAAGTAGGAAGCCCTCTTGCCCGAGGCCTACAAGGTCATAGGTTCACATTCTGCTTAGGGAAAAAGCTGGTTAGACATACCTCCAGGATTGTGTAGGGCTATACTTAAACACCACCGGGTGGGCCTAAATGAAATGTCATCTATTGAGCAGTTATTCGGGTCTCACGGTCTAAGAAGTTGACCAGGGATGCAAGCTTTCAAAGCATCAAAAGCCAGAGAATCAAAACAAGAAAGGCCGTTGAAAATCACAGTCCTTGAAAAGCAAACAATAAATAAAATAGGAACCAGTGAATGAACCGTACTCTCTGTCCACATAGCAAGACACGAACAACATGAGGCCAGTGCAACAATTTACACCATGTGGATGACGAACCTGGATTCTCGTCCTGTGCTGGTGGGAAGCATGGAAAAGTCTGGCTATGAATTAAATACAAAATAGCAGCCCCTCTACACTCTACAAAAAAATAAAGCACATGTGAGCCCCCAAATCCAAGGTCATTATGCAGAGTCTCTCTGAAACCCAGCTCCCCACGGCATTTGCAGTTACCCACCTCCAAAAGGGGAAAAGTAAACATTGGACCTGCTCTGGTGTTAAACCGCCACCGGCTCCTCCCCGCTGTCTCCCTCCTCCTCTTCTTCTTTACAGACAGGTAAAGTTGGATCTCTTGAAGGAACTGGGGGCTCCCACTCTAGGCAAAGGTTGGACAGGTGATCAATGTACAGCATGAGATTTGACTGTGCCTCCGTGCCTCCGACAGAGCTGGATCATCTGGGGCAATGAAAATTATAAGCAACAAGAAAGCGGTATTAATAGCAAGGGTAGGGAAGCCCAGGCAGCACACACCACGATTCCCTAGGACACCCAGCAACTCTTCCTTTCCTCATTCAGTCATTCCGAGTACATACCAAGCACTGTGCCAGGCTCTGGCGATATAGTAGTGACAAATATGAACACAAGGCCTGCCCTCATGGAGCTTATAGGCTATTTAGGACAGTGAGACAAGCAATTAAAGGACAGTGGGTAGAGAAACCTAGAAGGGCCATGGAGCACAAAGCAAAGGCAGCCAACCCAGACTGGGGGGAATAAGTCAGGGAAGGCTTCTCGGAAGAAGTGACATTTAACACTGAGCCCAGAGGACCCATGGAGTTAGCCAGACAAGACTGGGGTGTGTCGACATGTGCAAGATTCTGAGATGAGAAAGCATGGCTGGTCTGAGGCTGAAAGCCCTTTGTTGTCAGCCATTCTCCAGCCCTTGATCCTAAACCCAACCAGAGGACCAGATCTGGAGTCTGTAACTCTCATCACGAGGTGCTCCTCCAATCCCTACAATCCAGTCGTGTTTTAACCTCTTTAGTGGGATCTCAGGAAAGGGAAGAACTTAGAAAATAACTTGTTCTAAAAGAAGATAAGAAAAGAAAACAACAATGAAGAGTTGACCTGCTATAGAATAGACCCAACTGCAGCGATCGGTTTCTGCACACCAGATCACAGAGAAGTGACATGTCACGCTCAGCAGGGGCTGTCGAAACAAGACGCCAGACTGCAATTTGGCATCACCAAAGTGGGAGCCTCCAGGCTTCTTCCCTTTGGCTCTCTCACTCGGCCGGTTCCTTTCCTCCAAATCTCCAGGAAGTCGCAGAGGGAGCACTTTGCTCCTCTTCGCCTTGGTGTTTTGATTTCTAAAAGGCTACCACAGGCATGATACCTCCCACTGGCCTTAGGCACCTAAGGAAATCCAGATAGCTATGTAGCCAATCTTGTCAGAGGCCGCCATGCAGGAAAAAACAAAACAAAAAAACCTGTGAAAGTTCCAGGAGTTTGAGTGTTGCCCAGGGTTCTAACTGCCTTTGCATTATGAAAGAGACCATTGTCTGGGATGGTTTAAGACATGGCAACAAGCATGTGGTCATTTTACCAAAACGCACAGTCCAAAGGAGCTTTCCTTTATGTCTTAATATTATCCTATAATTCAAGTCCTGCAAACAATACCCTCGATTAAACATGGAAAGAAACAAAACCTTCACTTCCAGGAGGCAGAGCAGGCAGCTATTTTAGAGACAAAGAAAGGATGTCTTTTTAACCTATGACAACACAAATTTGTTTAGGTTTTCCCTCCACTAAGTAAGTAAGCAATTAGGCTTTTTCCAATAAAAATATCCCTGTGCATGTGCAAACACCAGAGGCAATCATATAATTACCCTGCCCAATCAGATTCAATTGCTGACAGTTGAGCTCCCACTGCTCATTAACTTCAGATCGCAATGAGGTCTTTACGGAAGCCCTTCCCGTCTCCTTACAAAGGTTCCTATGATGCTGTGAGCAGCCCCAGCACTAGCTCACACGGGATAATCATCCCCAAACGGCCAGGGCCAAGGCCAGCCTACTCTGACTTCCCTCTGAAAAAATAAAAAGAGAAATTCTACGAAACACTGGCTTAAACCCCCTGCTTCATTTGGGGATCTCACTTCTAAATATAATAGTAACCTTTCACCCCCACACTTTAAGTGCCGTAATTATATAATTAAAACCAATTATGTCATTTAACAGAGAGACTTTTTCAAGTTCCACGGCAAGCCAATTACTTCAATCATTGACCTCAGAAGATTTCCCACATTGACTTGCAACAATGAAGATTGGGATAAATTTAGACACTGGCTTCCGAGGGCTGGCATGGACTAGCTGGATGGGTCATAGCTGGTCTAGATTCTTCTAGACTCTAGAAACTGAACTGAATTTATTGCATCTAAAACCACCACCACCACCACTTGTTTGCAGGACCCTTCCAATATCCCAAGATACTTGGTTGATTTTCATCACCACCCAAATAGTATTATTACTTCCATATTACAGGCAAGAAAAAGGAGACAGGGAGAGTTGAGCTATCTCAAGTTATGCAACTAGTTAACGGCAAAGCCAGGGCAAGGACCTGAGTCTTCCACCATAGACTCCAAAGCCTATTAATAGCAAGTAGAGTGACAGAGAGAGACAGAAAGAGAGACAGAGAGAGTGTGTGTGTGTCCCTGCAGGTTTATTCTCTCGGCCATCCATACCCCCTATTGAGGTAACTCGTCTGCCCCACTTTCAGCCCACGTGCATCACAAGAGGCTCCATTCCAGCTCGGGATGGGGGTGGGAAAGGGGGGAGGGCTGAAACCTAGGCCTCAGCCAATCAGCTTCTAGCATTCTCCTAGCTACAGCATTGGTCCAGAGATGAGCACGGTAACCCAATCAAAACCAACGAGATACACCGAGACTTTGCTGAAGATCTTAGGAAAGAGTCTCACTCTTCCTAACTGGGCTTGCATGTGAGAGGAGGTACCGTCTGGCGGCTGAGTAGCCATCTTGCTACTGCTAAAGGAGTGAGGGAGAATGGAGCCAAGAGACGTAGAGAGAAACTTGTTCCAGGAAACTCCCTGATTCCTTCATGTTGCAGTAGGGGCATTAAGAACATGGAGTGGTTCAATAGCACACTGGAGAAACTATGAAAAGCACCATGGCCTACAGCTTGAGTAGTCTTGATTACAAGGATAGAATTAATTGACCGTGGCTCTGAGCAGCAGTCCTGCCTCCTGCTCACAACGCAGTTAAATGCCTCCTATTTTTGAGCTATTTAAAGAACATGCCATTTTATGGGCAGGAGGAAGCACTTTAATCTGCGAAATGATTTTTATCACAAACTAAACATCCTTGTAACTTTTTGGTCCTCTGCTTTGGTCAAAATTGTCTCTCCTTGGAGCTGAGACAGCTGTTGGAACCAGAAGACCTGCCTCCTCGACCTTGCACTTTGCCCTGCTCAGTGGTACCCTTGTGCTCTCCAGTTCCCAGATCTGTGTAGATTGTAAGAACTCAGGACACTTGCGCTCATCAAAATGGAGCATCTTCTTTTTTCCTTTTTCCTAGGCCTTGAGGAAAAAGAAAAAAGGGCAAGAATCTTCTAATGCAGGATTTTCAAGCTTGGCACTATTGAAGTTTGGGGACAGATAATTCTTTGTTGTTGGAGCTGCCTTATGTGTTATAGGATATGTAGCAGAGTTCTCTGGCCTCTACCCACTAGAAGCCAGTAACACCCCTCTCCCCAAGTTGGGACGACCAGAAATGTCTCTAGGCATTGTCACATGTCTAGGAGTCAGGGCTACCATCACCGCCGGTTGAAAACCATTGCTTTAATAGAAAATTTGAGGTATTTATTGGATTTTGCTCAGAGCATCTTTGAAAATATGACTCCTTATGGTATTATGATGTCTTCTACTTAAAGTGTGAGGAGTGAGGGAACATCTATGCTCCTGAGAACTTTACAAGAGCCATGTAAAATATCCAGTGAGGAGAGGTGTCTAAACACAAAGACCCAGGATCACAATACTGGGTCTATCTGGGCCATGAAGCCACATAAGACTTGCTGACCCATTAAGGACCGGAGTCGGGGGAAAATGTATCAAATAAAAATAATTTTACCTAAATACCAGAAAGAGGAAAAGGATATAGAGCAAAAAATTAGAAATGAAGAACAGACATCTCAACAGTGAGTTCCACAGTGGGTATTTGGCTTCTCATTTCCACAGGAAAGAAAATGAAACCTTAAGATTGTTGCTGGGTTTCCTGGATACGGGTTCAGCCCATGAAGGTGGAAGAGGCTGGGCTCAAACAGCAATGATCCCTCCGCCAAAGGTCTAAAACTCACTCTGCAGAGAAAAAGCCAAAAATGGTAAAGCCTCACATATTTAGACAAATGTGGGCAAAGACATTTAAAATAAGCAAAAATGATGGATTTATAGAATATTTTTTAAGGAAAGGCATTTACTTTCTTTCAAATACCAGCAGCACTAAGAGTGGGCTGGCAGAAGTCCTTCCTTCAGGATTGATTGGAATGAGAAGATAAAATAGAATTCATTTAATTAGCATATGCATTGTTAAGCCTTGAAGAAGGGTGTTGAATTGGTTTGTCCTCTCAATGAGCTAATTAGTTATATCTTCACACTGGCAGCTAGCTGAGGCCAGCCCAGGAATTCCAGAGTAGTGAGGTTCCAGTGATACTTTGCTTCAAGGCACAGACTTCTTCTACACACCTTAAAGTATTCGCTTTTGATCAAGTCTGTCAGAAGAACCAGGTTGGTTTGTGTATGAAGACTGGCCTTTGTTGGGGCTTCCTTGGGTGAAAATGTTTGGATTCGAGTGGTTTCTCTCACCAGAGGTTCTAATGCCTCAGGAATGGAGGGAGTTCAGATTATCAGATTGGGACACCACTTCCTCAGTTCCCAGGAAGCCTACCTCTCCAGCTGTCACCATGTTCCAGCTGTCCCATTCTTCTGGCCCCTCACTCTCCAACTGCCCTCACTTCTCTCCTGCAACCAATGAAATCTGATGGCTATGGTTTAACCATGTCTCAAATGGAGAAAGAGCAAGAATAAAGGAGTCTCTGAAGAGACCTGGCCCTCCTCTCATTGTTCTTTTAGGCTTATTGTTTTTTTGTTTTGGTAAAGAAGTAATGTTTAAAACAAACAATAATAGAAAAACAGAAGTATTTGTCTGAAGGTTCTAGCCGAGTCCCCAGGCACACTGACGGACTGTATAAAGAATTGTCTTTTGTAGAATTTAGTAATTTAATCTGGAGAAGCTAGTCCTAAACTCTTGATCCATAAGGCATGAGTTTCTGAGTGCACACTCTTCGTGTGGATAAAGCATCCCCACCCTACACCATCTCTACTGAAGGCATCCATCCGGCCTACCTGTGTTTCTCAGAATACCTGGGTAGGTCATCAGAGATAAAAGAGA